ACATTAGAGAATCGAAATGGTTAAATTACTAGAGTATACTGTACTTCGAGTGATATTTATTTTTCTGGTATCGGTTTGAGTGACGTTTATTAAATTAAATTGAATGTTGCAGCTACTTAGTAGTGTGTTGATTGTTGATGCTTACGGTGGAAGGATTTTCTCTCGCTGAAGGAAACTCAAAGTCAATTAAAACACAAGACAGTGTAAATTAATTCACCCTGAGGAAAAGTCAACTTATTAAACTAGAAACAGATGTGATATTTCAGACTACTCAAATTAGTTTGTTGAAAAGATTTTCACTTTTATATTTATTGTGTTATTAACAATATCATTAAAGATTATTATTATACACCTGTCAACGTAACGCCATGAGTTGCAGTGTGCCGTAATTTTGCGGTATTTTATGGGGAATTTTTATCCTACCATGGCGTAAGCATCTTCTAATAATAAAAACAAACATGGCTGCCACCAGGGTTTGACCGGACTCCACACAAAAAAGTTCGCTGATTCTGTTCTAATTTTTTTAATTTTTTTTGAACGATGCCGAATCTAATTAATGTCGCTGTATTTTAAAAGTATCTGTAGATGAAAATAATGAAATAATGTTCTTTGTGTTTCGTTGATGAGCGGCATTGACGTATTGTTCGTACAATAACAAATTAAACGTATTTCATTGATTTCTGTCGACATGTATATGACGTATACAAAACAATAGGACCGTGATAGGTTAGTATGGAATACGTATACTTGAATTCAATTTCGATTACACTTTGCATACATAGACTTTTGGTGAATATTTACCTACGACAGATGACAAAGTACACTGGATGTAAATAACTGCAATGTATTGTTTGTAGCGATTGTAAAATGTATGTGTAATTAAAAGAGTAATTGACATATGTATAAAACATACACAGATATTACTCTGTGTTATTTGTGGCAACTGACATTGAACGTACTGTAAAGTCTCTAGGTGAACATCAAACAAACTTGACTCTTAAGCTGAGTTGTATTCAAAGTAGAATGAGGCACTTAATATTAAAAACAGAAAGACACGCAACTTTGTTAAGTGTTAATAGTAAGTTTTTAATTGTAATAACTTGATAATTGATATTTCGAATTTCGCACATTTACGGATGTTTTTTTTACAATTTCTATTGATAATTATGCTTGGTATTTTAGTCGAATAATAAGCACGAATCTTAGGAGATACGTGATCTCGCACACTAAAGTGATGACACGACGATATTCCAAGTCGCTCTGGTTGAACGAGTTATCGCTTTTGCCAGCAGCAATATCAGCGTAATGGCAAGAAGTGATTCATCTCTGTTCAGCCGAGTATTGTTATTAGTATTCATTGGCATAAATGCGCACTCATTTAAGAACATCGTGAGTCTAGACTAATTGTATATACGATGTGAAATTCAGTCATGGGCATCTGATTTACACTACAGGTATGGCGGCATCTCACCGATAATATGTATAAAGAGTATTGGAGTGTACGATGATGGTTATTGAAGAAATATAACTCCTTTCTTATAAATATGAATAGACAATAAAATACACAATAACAGAAGGGAAAGCAATAAACACGCTTACGACTAGAATGAGGATATCAAATATATTTATCACATGTATCATTACTTACATAAAGTCATGTAATATATTTTTCATATTACATCCTAACCGGAAACAGTGATTAGTGCTTGCACACAATTTGGAATTGTGGCGTTTGCCACCTGAAATAAATATCAAAACGAAGGCTAGATGGTCGCGGCTCGGAGTTTAGGGTCGAAGTCGGTTTGGGCTTTTTTAGGGTCCGAATCAGTTTGGATTCTTTTATTTTTGTTCAGGTTTTTCTTTCTTCTTCCGCTGTATTTTTTCTTCAAGCAGTATTGAGAAAACCGCTGCACGAAATTGTTTGAAATTTTCTATAATGACATACAGAACCCCAGATTTACCTGACCTTCAAATCTGTATTGGTCAATTAGTTCGGTTGCCGTCTTGGATTGAAATTGGAAGTAGCCATTAATAAATCTTTCTGGGGGTCTCATGAGTTTATTGTTGTGGCTTTATGATTGGCATATTGGCTACCTATTTCACGAATAAAAACTTCAGCGGCCACGTTACTTTTTCTGTCCTATATTTTTCTCCTAAAAACGTCAGAACATGCTTAAAGGACTTCTTCATAAAACTACTGAACATATTGATATAAAAGTTGTTTTTTGAGCATCTATGTGTAACGCACATTAAAGTTTGAGAATTTGGTGGGAATGGTCACATAGTTTGGTTATCATATTGGATTTCTTTTACACAGGTTTTTTTTACTGATGTTCTCCTATTTCTTTGAAATTTGCCATCTTTCATCTCTCAAATGAACTCTTTTGGATAGTTAGTCGCGCAATTTCGTCGCCATTTTTGATTTTTGACAAAAATGACCAAACGTTGAGCATTTGTTTTTAAAAATGCTTCAACCGAT